CCCTTCTTCAGAATTTCTGAAGAAGGGTCTCGGCCCGAAACGTCAGCCTTCCTGCTCCTCTGATGCTGCTTGGCCTGCTGTGATCATCCAGCTCTACACCTTGTTATCTCAGATTCTCCAGCATCTGCAGTTCCTACTGTCGCATGAGAAAGCTAATTTGAAGCAGAAGAAAAATGCTGGCAGTATTCAAAGCAGAACAGAAGGTTATGAATTTCTGTTTTTCTCACCGTAGTTGCTGCCTGACCTGATAAGTATTTGCAGAATTTTCTGTTTTTTATTTCATAATTTTATTGCAGGTACTTCTATGGGTGGACTCATTGTAATGAAGAGTATTTAAACCACAAATTCTGAATGCCATATAAAAGTCTGAACATGTTAATGTGTCCTATCCCATGGAATTCTAATTGTTTTTCTTCTGTCTACTTTTGAAAAATGGTTTTCAGAATTGGTGATGACATTGGTAGTTTGCCTGGACGAATTCAGGCACATGTGAGTGAATTGTCTTGTAAAATTAGCACTGAAATGTGCTTGCAATTTAAAGAGATCCTCTGGGGACATTGTTTTCCCTGTTGCTGTACTGCAGGACATTTCATCAACAAAAAGAAGAGAACCTTTAGCAAAAAAGAAATGCAAACAGACCTCATGAATTGAAACATGTCACTAAGAAAACCTATGAGGGGACTTGTTAATATGAGCCAACTGACTATTCTGACTAGTATATTAGCATAATCATCATCACTGGTGGACCCTCGCAGATGAGGATGACTCTCTTCCATTCAGTGTGAGTCTGTAGGTGGCTGTACAGATTGATGCAGCAACCGCAGGCTCTTTTACACTTGGGACAGAAGGTGGTCGCCGGAAGGGGTGGGTGGGGTGTTGGTGTGGCGGCGCACTCCTTCCCTGTTTTCACCTAGCTTCCACGTCTTCCCGATAGCAAGTCTTGAGGTATTCGGCGCCTTCCTAGATGCTCTTCCTCGACTTTGGGCGATCTTGGGCCAGTGATTCCCAGGTGTCTGTGGGAATGCCGCACTTCGCCAGTGAGGCCTTGAGGGTATCAGTGAAGCATTTCTGTCCGCCTGGGGCTCGAGTGCTGGTTCAAAGCTGGGAGTAGAGCACCAGCTTGGGGAGTCTCGTATTGGTCATGCAGACACAGTGTTTTCTCTGCATGCATGTATGTCAATATAGTGCTCTACAAATTTGGTGCGGGTCATATCTGTTTTCTGGGTGTCAAACAGGCAGAAAGTAATCAATGCTGAGAACAGAAACTGTCTATCAATAGGGCAGAAGGCCCTGCGTGATATTTTGATGTAGAGAGACATGTGTTCAGAGCTTGCACCTGCACTAAATTTTGTATATGTAAATAAAGGCATAATGTATAAATATAAATGCATAGTGTATAAATCTGGGTTGCCTAATCCACAGCATTCAGGAACCAAGACTATTTGGAATACAACCAATGGACTTTAAAACATCATCATTAAAAAGATAATTTCTTTAATTAATTGCTTCTTCTGGCTCTTCTGCCTACACACATTTACCCAGTCCTTTATTTCTTGATTAGTTTCCATTACAGCTGTGCCACACCATTACCGCCACCCACTCCTTCCAGTTGCCTCCCCTTCTCTTTATTTTGTTCCACTTTGTCAACAGGCCTCGGGCAAGTGATTGACGTGCCCCAAAATTCCAAATCGCTTCAGTGAGCTGCCTCACGTCAGCCAGCAGCTTGGCAACAGCAAACTCTGCTTTCAGTTGTATCGTAGCTTACAGTGGCCAGTTATTGAAGGCAATAACACGTCAACATCTGAGCTTTCTGAATCTTTCTTTTTTAAATTTAGCCTCGTTGTCTCTTTAAAAAGTGTCGTAAGCAATCCATGGAACTGTATATGCACCACACGGTGTGTTGGAAAATGATAAATAATGGACAGATAAAGGTATTAAAAATAAGTTGACAAGCAAATAGAGTATCAGGATTTTTAATCTGAGATATGGTTCCCTAGAATATGAATTACTACACCATCCAAAGGAGTCAGCAGTGAACATCAGACTAACCATGTTTGTGGTATTCACAGTGTCATTCCTCAACTCACTGTCTCATTGCACGGTTACATTTTAATATAGAATGAACCTTTCTGAGAGTATCCGTTAAGGTATTATGATTAAAATTTTCTTTTAAAAACACGAAACCAAAGTTAAAACATGCTATATAAATAGTAATGCCAAGTTGGCAGTTTAAATTTTTGAAAGTTGTTACAATGTAAAATTGAGATACTTAAAGGGTGTCAGTTTTGAGGCACAGACCAAAAATTGTACAAATGAGTCAGAGATGATAACACCTGCCAAGCAATCTTTGCTGACAATGGGGAGGAACAATGGTATGTAGGATGCCAAATGTGAATCTGAAAATGTTCTGGAGCAGCATTGACCTGGTAGTTTGAAATAAAGAAAGTGTAAAATAATTACAATGGATATAAAGTTGGAGTGTCAGAGATTTACAGGATTTACATAACAAATAATCAGTATTACTTGTTCTTCAAGATGCAAACAGGATATAGAAAAAGTTTTCGTAGATGTGGGAGAATTAGTCATACCTTGGCTGTCTTGGGGTTTATTGAACGTTCCCAATTATATTACAAATGATTTGTCTTGCAATCCAATGTAGCTTATCCATCCAGGAAGACCCCAATGACTTCCAGAGTGATATTCAGCTGTTTTCAGATTATCTCAAGAATTTTGCCTCAAATTCTCAACCTGAAAACCCCATCCATGATGTTTAGTGTGAACAACTTCTTGTCATCACTTCTAAATTTGCACTTTACTTTGAAGCTAAACCCTTGTCTTACTTTCATGTAGAAGTTTGAAATTGTGTTCTAAATTTACCTTTTCTGATTTTATATGGCTCTATATGTGGTTCTTCGGTGAGCCCAAGTTACTTTATTTTTTTTCCCTTACCACTCTGCAATAAATATTTGATACTTAGTTATTTTCTAAATCACTTCCAGCACTTGATTGTATTTAAGATAAGGTCTGACCAGATTTGTTTTATAGTTAAAGCAGGCATATCTTCTGTCCTGTTGCCACTATCATTTTGTATTAAACGTGTTTTGTTGATAGCTGGCCGGCTGTGGTCCAGTCAGCTGAATGTGGAGTTTGCTAAAACCCTAGATTTCTCTCAATTCCACCTTTATCAATTTCAGCACAATTTGTGGTGTGTTATATTACTTTTGATCTTCATATTTGTATAACCTGATATTTGTTTACCTAGCATTTTATCTTTTATTGATGTTCCAATTATGCTCTATTTAACTTTTTTGTATTTAAATTTTTTTTTAGATCTTGAGTTGTATCATTTGCACTTTCTTTTCACCCTTTCCACCATTCACGTTTTCTGCAAACTTGACTAGGTGAGCCTTTCTGCTCCTATGATGCTGCTTGGTCTGCTGTGTTCACCCAGCTCTACACCTTGTTGTCTCTGTTAATGAACGAACATTAGAGCAGTTTCATTCCCTATCAATCTTTGGGGCACCCCATTCATCTTTATCTACTTACTGACATAAATTCTCAAAAATGATTTATTACCACCAACTCTTAAACTTTTTATTGCTCCCAGGTTTCACCCCAAATCCCCAGTCTTTTCTGGTCTCAAATAGCAAGCATTACAGAATTTCGTCAAACTGTCTTTCCTCAAAAAAATGTGGTTAATTAGAGTGGTTTAATCTTCTGAATTGTTATTAGTTGTTTATGCTGCTGTTATATCGACAATGCTGACATTTATGACCCCATTCCATCATTGTACAGGATTTGATTAAGGTTGTTTTTCCAATTTCTTTTGCCTTATCGTTCTAAGGTAATATTTCTTAACTCTATAATTGGTTTTCTTTTTTATTTAGGTGTGCTGTGTTGTCTGTCATCTGATACACTGTAAAATTATTTTCCATCAAATTTAAGACAAAATCGACAATCAGCTAAAACAACTAGGTTGTATGACTTTTGCTCAAATATTTGAGACATCCCTAGTACCCTTGCCTTATTGTACAGCCAGCATAAAGGAAGCATTTTCATAAAACTTGTTTGTATAAACTGAACTAAACATGCTATTTTACATTGTTTATTTCAGACATCCAATTAGTAAAACTTTGAATAATTGCCTCTTTCAGACACTAAAAAACATGAGGAGGGGAGGGAAGTTACACAGCAGGAGGACTTACCTTCACCAGATAACTGGGTGATACATCAGGATGCAGAGCACCCATCAGCCCTGGTGAATGACACTACTGGTGACCTCATCAGAAGTAAGTGCGTGGAAGGTCTTTTGACTAATGTGCATTCTGGAACAAATTGCTGTCTGACAGTATTACAATAATACCACAATTACAAATGGTGGCAATATTGACATACAGTTAACTTGTGTCAAATGTGATAATGTCAGTAAAGTAACATGAGTCAACGGGAGTTGCTTTAACAGAATGATCACTGTCTGAGTGCATTAACAGTTTGTGCAAGTGCTACAGGTACTGCTGAGCCAACACTGCTCTTTTTGATTACAGTGCATATTGTCAAACTTGAGTACACTTGTGATGATGTTTGCATTACAGATTTATTGCCATTGTTTTGAGGAACAAAAAAGCTCTGGTGAAATGATTCTGGCACGCATTCATTGGCAACTTGATGAAAGTACACAGTTTCACATTCTCTGAGAGTGTAGGCCAGTTCTAGTCTATAGATTTCATTTCTCAGTTTCCTGTCATAAATTGTAGAAAGAAAATTCATACTAGTATGTATATCTTTCAATATGGAAGGCACAATTTTGAATCAAAATCTCATACACTTCACTTTGCTTGTCTTCTTTCTATTGAATCTACCTAAGTTAATAAGCATTACAATTATTTTAGAAGCGAGTTCTAGGAAGTATTCTTTGAAAAGCAACTCTACTGTTCAATTTTAGTCAAGCAAAATGGAAATGTGAAAGCAAAGTTGAGAAATCCGGAAGGCCTGTCAGTGCCACTACTCATTGGCAATTAATTTTGTAAAGGGGTCTTAAAACAATACTAAGCCATAATAAACGTATCTAAGGGAACTGATGCCTGATTTTAAAAGCCTCTCTGAAATTCCTTCAGGTGAATGTTCTAAATGCAAAAGTGGCTGCCATGAACCATCTGTTGTGCTAATATGTGCTTGAAAGGAAATCTAGTGTACATGGTTGTTTTGACAAGTTCAGTCAGGTGCCACTCTCCCTTTTTGCTTTCACAACCTGGTGGTGGCATTTTCTGTAAAAGCTCCCTTTCCAAAACAAAAAGCCACAAAAATTTAGCAGTGGGACCAATGCCTGCACAAAAATACAGGTGCAATGCAAACTAATTTCTATCCACTAAAGTTCAAGCGCTTCATACAAACTTGCAACTGATGGTAGATGTTAACATGAAATCATTGTTAACATTTCAGATGTGAAATGCCGATCTAACAGTAAATAAGTCGTGGAAATTTTGATTTTAATGCCAAGAAAGTATGCACAGTTTAATGTAATTAGAATAATGGGCTCTTTATGATAAGGAGGCTTATTCTAAGCCTAGAAAATCAATTAATCATTAAATGATTATTGTACAGAAGGCAACCATTCACCTCATCTCTCTATATGCAACTCTCACAAGTATCACTCCCTTGCCATTTTTCCCAGCCCAGCATTTGTTTTCTCTTGAGGACTTATTCAATTTCCTTCCCTGCACCACATCATGTGACTGTTCCTTCTTTTGTTAAACACTTCAAATTGGTGTTCTCTTGTTCTTGACCCTTCGCCACCGGTGGGAACAACTTGTTTACATTAATTCTGCCCAGACCCCTTTATAGTTTTGAGCACCTCTATTAAATCTTCTTTCAACCTTCTTCTCAAAGACCTTTGTTTCTCCAGGATGTCTATGAACTGTGTTTCCTTATCCTTAGAGCCATTCTCGTAATCCTTTTTCAGCGTCCTAATGCCTTTCCATCCTCCTCGAAGTGTTCTGCTTACAATTAGACACGCAACTCCATTCGAAGTTTTTACCAAGACAATGGGGATGTGGGTTTTGTTGGCTGGGCCAGCATTTATTGCCCATCGCAAGGCTTTGAGAAGATGATGAGCTGCCTTCTTGAATCATTGCAGGCTGTCTGTGTAGGTAAACCCCAAATGTTATCGGGGAGGAAGTTCTAGGATTATAATCCAGTGACGGTGAAGGAACAGTGACATATTTCCAAGTCAGGATGCTGAGTAGCTTGGACGGGAAATTGCAGGTGGTGGTGTTCCATATATGTGCTGTCCTTGACCTTCTAGTTGGTAGTGGTCATGGGTTTAGAAGGTGCGGTCTAGATGCTGCAAAAATGCTGCAGTGTATCTTGTAGATGGTATACTGTAAATGCTGCAATATATCTTGCACAAGGTATACATTGCTGCTACTGAGCATAGGTTCTGCAGAAAGTGAACATTTTGTTGGCGTAGTGCAATCAACGGGCAGCTTTGTCCTGGATAGTGTTGAGTTTCTTGAGTGTTGTTGGAGCTGCACTCATCTAGGCAAGTGGGAGTATTCCATCACACTCCTGACTTGTGCCTTGTAGATGTGAGGCAAGTTTTGGGGAATCAGGATGTGAGTTACTCACTTGCTCTGGTAGACGCACTATTTGTATAGATAGTTCAGTTTTTCTGACCAATAATAATCCCTTTGTCGATAGTGGGGGGATTCAGTGATGGTAACGCCTTTGAATGTTAAGCATTAATAGTTCGATTCTTTCTTATTCGTTGCCTGGCACTTTGTGACACAAATGTTACTTGTTATGGTGGATACGGTACAGGTCTTGTTGCGTTTGGACATGGATTTGTTCAGTATGTGAGGAGTTGCGAATGATGTTGAACATTGCGCATCGGTCAGTTATCGTTCACACTTCTGACCTTGTGATGAAGGGAAGGTCGTTGACGAAGCAGCTGAAAATGTCTGGGTCTAGGAACCTACCTTGAAGAACACCTTGAGAGATGTCCTGGAGCTTAGATGACTGACATCCAGCAAAAATAACCATCTTCCATTTGTCCTATGTGTGACTCCAACCAGTGGAGTGTTTTTGTTTTTGCCTGGTTCCCATTGATTGCTTGATGCCACATTCTGCCAAATGCAGCCTTGACATTGGGGGTAGTTGAACCAAGGCTGTCATGAGATTAGAAGCTGAGGAAGCTGAGTTCTGAGGAAGGGTCACCGGACCCAAAACGTTAACTCTGTTTTCTCCTCCACAGATGCTGCCAGACCTGCTGAGCTTTTCCAGCAACTTTGTTTTTGTTCCTGATTTACAGCATCCGCAGTTCTTTTGGTTTTTATTTAGAAGCTGAGCAGTCTGGCAGAATCCAGACTGAGCACAGTGAGCAGGTTATGGCTAGGCAAGTGCTACTTTCTATGACTATTGATGACCCATTCATAACTTCATCACCTCAGGTGACCTCCCACCCATAGCCTCCAACCTCATCGTTCCCCAAACCCGCACCGCCCGTTTCTATTTCCTTCTGAAAATCCACAAACCTGACTGCCCCGGCTGAACCATTGTCTCTGCCTGCTCCTGCCCCACCGAACTTATCTCCACTTACCTTGAATCTGTTTATACCCCCCTGGTCCAGGAACTCCTCACCTACATCTGGGACAAAACCCACTCCCTCCACCTCCTCCAAGACTTCCAATTCCCTGGCCCCTAACATCTCTTCTTTGTTATGGACATCCAATCGCTCCATCCCCCACGCGGATGGCCTAAAAGCCTTCTGTTTCTTCCTCTCCTGCAGGCCGAACCAGTCCCCTTCCACCAACACCCTTATCTACTTAACTGAACTCGTCCTTGCCCTTAACAACTTCTCCTTCAACTCCTCCCACTTCCTACAGACTAAGAGGGTGGCCATGGGCCCAAGCTATGCCTGCCTCTTTGTAGGATACGTGGAACAGTCCCTCATCTGCTGCTACTGTGGCACTGCCCCCACCTCTTCCTCCGTTACATCGATGACTGTATCAGCGCTGCCTCGTGCTCCCACAAGGAGCTTGAACAGTTTATCAACTTTACTAACACCTTTCACCCCAACCTCAAATTCACCTGATCTCTGATACCTCTCTCTCCTTCCTGGACCTTTCTGTCTCCATCTCTGGTGACCACCTCGAAACACATCTATTTCAAGCCCACTGACTCCCACAGCTACCTAGACTATACCTCCTCTTGCCCACCTTCCTGCAAGAATGTGTTCCCTTACTCCCACTTCCTTTGCCTCCGCCGCATCTGCTCCCAAGGTGGGGAGTTCCACTCCCAGATATCCCAGATCTCCTCTTATTTCAAGGACCTCAACTTCCCCCCCCTCCAGTGATTGAAAATGCCCTCAAACGCATCTCTTGCATTTCCCGCACCTCTGTCCTTACATCACTACCGCCCAAAAAAATAAAGACAGAATCCCCCTTGTCCTCACATCACCCCATTAACCTCCATATTCAATGTAACATTCTCCACCACCTACAATCTGACCCCACAAACAAATGTGGGGAGTTGGGTTATCTGCCTTTCGTAGGGACTGCTCTCTCCACGACTCCTCAGTCCACTCCACACTCCCCACTAACCCCACCACCCCCAGCACCTTTCCTTGCAACCTCAGGAAGTGCCACACCTGCCCCTACACCTCCCCCCTCACCTCCATTCAAGGCACAAAACAAACCTTTCACATCAGACAGAGGTTCACCTGGACATCCATCAACTTGGTCTACTGCATCCGCTGATCCTAATGTGGCCTCCTGTACATCGGTGAGACCAAGCGGAGACCGTTTTGTGGAGCACCTGCTCTCAGTTCACAACAAACGACAACACCTTCCGGTCACGAACCATTTTAACTCACCCCACCCCACCCTCCAGCGACATGTCCATCCTAGGCCTCCTCCAGTGTCACAATGATGCCACCTGCAAACTGGAGGAGCAGCACCTCATATTCTGCCTCGGGAGCCTACAGCCCAATGGCCTAAATGTGGAATTCTCCAGCTTTAAAATCTTCCCACTCCTGGCCTCATCCCATGACCAACCCTCCCTCTCAACCCCACGTTGTTGACCTGACACAACTACTCTCCCACCTATCCGTCCCTCCCACCTCACGGACCAATCCCCACCACTGCTTACCTGCATTCACCTGTCATTATCCCACCTCCCTTCCCCAGCCCCAGCCCTCCTCTCTCTATTTATTTCTGAGCTCCCTTCTCCCTCCCCCATTTCTGAAGAAGGGTCCCAACCTGAAACGTCAACTTTCCTGCTCCTCTGATGCTGCCTGGCCTGCTTTGTTCCTCCAGCTCCACACTTTGTTATCTCTGACTCCAGCATCTGCAGTTCTTGCTATCTCTATTTTTAAATACTGTATCAGTGTTTGAAGTAGGTCTATCATAACTTACAAAAAAGAGTCATTGGACTCTGTTAATTCTGTTTCTCTCACAACAAATGCTGAGTTTCTCTAGCACAGTTTTTATTTTTCCTAACCTTTTCGAATTTTGCAGTTATCACCCTACTTATAATTCACAGGATCTTCTATGTCATTTTATCAACCTGCCCTGCCACCTTCAACTATTTGTTCATACACCCCCTGGTGCCCCTCTGCTTCTGCACCCCCTTAGTAGTGTATTATTTAGGTTAATTTGCAACCCCCAATATACTTCCTTGTAAAATGTACTACTTCAAACTTTGCGTTAAATTGTGTGTCGCAAGTCCACCCTTTGCTTTAAAATCTTTTGGCCACATGTCCAGCTACTCCACGAACTTGTCTTTGTCCATTTGAAGTCAATCACAATTCTCCTTCATTTCAACTTCTGTTGTTTGCAAGTTTTGAAATTGTATACTGCACACACCAATCATTGTCAGGACTGTACGCCAACAAAAGCTGTGGTGCTAGTAGCCCGACTGCTGTACTTTGGGGAGACGAAATGCAGACTGGGTGACAGCTTTACAAAACACCTGCGTTCTGACTGCAGAAATGACCCTGAGCTTCCTTGTGCCTGCCACTTCAACATACCATTATGTTCTCTGCTAACATCTCTGTCTCAGGCTTGCTGCAGCGAAGTTCAATACAAGCTGGAAGAACAGCATCTCATTTTCCGCTTGGAAACCCCACAGCCTTCTGGACTTGATATTGAGTTCAATAATTTTAGGCCCTGAGCACCTTCTCCCATGTCCTTATCCCACACTCCACACACCAGGCCTTGTCATCAAATGGGCTGCTACCAATAGCAACCAATATCTCTCTCGCTCTCTCCCCCTCCCTCTGGGCTCTATCTCCATCTATCATTCCCCCCTTTCCTCTTCTCTGGGCTCCATCTCCATCTATCATTCCTTCCTCCCCCTTCTCCCTTCATCCTTTATCTGGCATATATACCAACCTTTTCCTAGCTGGTGTAGGTTCTATAGAAGAGTCACTGGAACGGAAACATTGACTTTGATTTCTGTCCACACATGCTGCCAGAGCTACTGAGCTTTTCCAGCAATTTTGTTTTTGTTACTATCCTTTAGTATTGTACAGAATTGTCGGTTGGATTCCACCCTCACGTCCATGATTTGTACTCTCAATTTTCTGATTTAGAGGCAAGAAAACCTCTATTAGGTTAATGGAGGTCAAACATTGACTTTACATGTGTCACTTCTTTGTAAGTAACCACAGTTGCAGTATCATCAAAGCTTAGATCAAAAGTGTATTTTTCTAATGTTGTTATGAAAGTCAGGATTTTCCACTAGAATGGAAATCCTGCTGGAAGTGTGGCAGGATGAGTATGACTCACATCCGATGTTGCTGGTGGTAACTGTTCAAATTAGGAGTAATTTAATAAGAATAATTTTAAATTTACTCCTCCTGTTTGGAGCTCACCTTCATCAAGATAGGCCGCGTTTTATGACATGCAGTAGTGTGAAAAGAACCTGTTAAAAGCAAGTACTTTGACTACAGCCAATATGTTGTCTAAATTTTAAATTGACATTTTGCTGTCATCAAGCCTAATGTCCTTTTTTTTTGTGTGTTTCTGACAGGAAAAGCTCTTCCTGGCTCCATGACTGGCTTAAAAAACTATCTGTTCTTGTATACAGGAACATAGGATTTGGGAGTAGGAGTAGGACGTATGGCTGTTTTGAGCCAGCTCCACCATTTATTAAGGTCACGACAGATCTGATCTCACTGTGATCTCAACCTTACTTTCCTGTCTCCTCCATTCATCCCCCATAAGCCTTGAGTGCCTTGTCAATCAAGAATCTATCCAATTCAGCCTCAAATAAATTCAATGACCTAGCCTCCATTGCTTTTTAGAGAAAAGAATTCCACTTATTAATGAGCCTCTGAGAGGGAGAAAACAACCTTCTCATCCCCAACTTAAAAGACACGCCTCTCATTCTGAAAATCTGTGTCCACTGTTTGTCCTCACAAGAGGCAATATCCACCCTGTCAAATATCCCCAAGAACCTCTCGTGTTTCAATAAAATCACATCTCATCCTTCTAAACTCCAGTAGTTATAGCTCAACATCCCAACATAATATAAACTTTTCATCTTAGGCTATTTTAGAGGGCAGTTAAGAGTCAACCATATTGTTATAAGTTGGAAACTAGACCAGGTGAGGATGGTCCAAGAAAAGATTTTCTTCCCTAAAGGGCAACAGTGAACCAGATTTTGCTTTTTGCGATGGTCAATAGTATTTACATGGTCACCATTGGAACAGTTTTGTTTTAAATTCCAGATTTTTGAAAATTGAATCCACGTTTCCTAGTCTGCAATGGTACAGTTCTAACCTACAAAGCCAGGACATTAGCCTGGGCTACTGGATTACTAGTCAAGTGCCATCACCTGCCCATGTTTGGTGTCTTCATCCAAGTCATTCGTATAGACCATAGGTAGTTGTGGAACCAGCATAGATCCTGTGGGTACACTACTAGTTGCAGTTGGAACCTGAAAATGATACGTTATCCCTATCCATTTTCTGCCCCTTGGTCCAGGAACTCCCTACCTACGTCCGTGACACCACCCACGTCCTCCACCTCCTCCAGAGCTTCCAATTCCCCGGTCCCCAACACCTCATCTTTACCACGGACGTCCAGTCCCTATACACCTGCATTCCCCATACAGATGGCCTAAAGGCCCTCCGCTTCTTCCTGTCCCGCAGGCCTGACCAGACCCCTCCGCTGACACCCTCATCCGCTTAGCTGAATTCATCCTCACCCTCAACAACTTCTCATTTGATTCCTCCCACTTCCAACAGACAAAGGGGGTGGCCGTGGGTACCCGCATGGGCCCAAGCTATGCCTGCCTCTTTGTAGGTTACGTGGAACAATCCCTCTTCCGTACCTAAACTGGCCCTAAACCGTAGCTCTTCCTCCGTTACGTTGATGACTGTATCGGCGCCGCCTCGTGCTCCCACGAGGAGCTTGAACAGTTCATCCACTTCACCAACACCTTCCACTCCAACCTTAAGTTCACCTGGACCATCTCTAATACCTCTCTCTCCTTCCTGGACCTGTCTGTCTCCATCTCGGGCAACCACCTAGAAACCAACATCCATTTCAAGCCCACCGACTTCCACAGCTACCTAGAAAACACTTCCTCCCACCCACCTTCCTGCAAAAATACCATCCCCTATTCCCAATTCCTTCGCCTCCGCCGCATCTGCTCCCAGGATGAAGCATTCCACTCCCGTACATCTCAGATGTTCACATTTTTCAAGGACCGCAACTTCCACCCCTCAGTGGTTGAGAACGCCCTCGACTGTGTCTCCTGCGTTTCCTGCAACTCATCCCTCACCCCGCCCCCCCTCCCCACAATAACAACCAAAACAGAATCACCCTCGTCCTCACGTACCACCCCACCAACCTCTGGATCCAATGCGTCATCCTCCGACACTTCCGCCATCTGCAATCCGACCCCACCACCAAAGACGTTTTTCCCTCCCCATCCTTATCTGCTTTCTGGAGGGACCACTCTCTCCGTGACTCCCTTGTCCACTCCACATTCCCCTCCAGCCCCACCACACCCGGCACTTTTCCCTGCAACCGCAGGAAGTGCTACACTGCCCCTACACCTCCTCCATCACCCCCATCCCAGGCCCCAAGAAGACTTTCCACATCAAGCAGATGTTCACCTGCACATCTGCTAATGTGGTATACTGCATCCGCTGTTCCCGTTGTGGCCTCCTCTACATCGGGGAAACCAAGCGGAGGCTTGGGGACCGCTTTGCAGAACACCTACGCTCGGTTTGCACTAAACAACTGCACCCCCCAGTCGTGAACCATTTCAACTCCCCCTCCCATTCCTCAGACGACATGTCCATCCTGGGCCTCCTGCAGTGCCACAACGAAGGTTGCAGGAACAGCAACTCATATTCCGCTTGGGAACGCTGCAGCCCGATGGTATCAATGTGGACTTCACAAGCTTCAAAACCTCCCCTCCCCCTACCGCATCCCAAAACCAGCCCAGCTCGTCCCCGCCTCCCTAACCTGTCCTTCGTCCCACCTATCCCCTCCTCCCACCTCAAGCCCCACCCCCATCTCCTACCTACTAACCTCATCCCGCCCCCTTGACCTGTCCGTCCTCCCTGGACTGACCTATCCCCTCCCTAACTCCCCACCTACACTCACCTTTACTGGCTCCATCCCCGCCTCTTTGACCTGTTTGTCTCCTCTCCACCTATCTTCTCCTCTATCCATCTTCTGTCCGCCTCCCCCTCTCTCCCTATTTATTTCAGAACCCCCTTTCCCTCCCCCATTTCTGAAGAAGAGTCTAGGCCCGAAACGTCGGCCTTCCTGCTCCTCTGATGCTGCTTGGCCTGCTGTGTTCATCCAGCTCTACACCTTGTTATCTCGTTATCCCTACTGTTTTCTTTAATATCCAGAAGTGCACTTACACAAAACTAACTTTGTTTTTCCCATCACCAAATCACCTATGCTTTTTCTCTCTCTATTTATTTATTAAGCATCACTAGTAAATCACCCATGTTTTCCAATTGATTAATTTGCATGCAAATCGCATTAAGAGCAATGCAAACCATCAAAGGTGAGGGAGAGGTGGGGAGGGGGCACAATCAAAATGGAATTGGAAGGTGTCTGCCTCCTATTGGCTAATCAATTCTTATTAACCCTCATCAAATGCCTTCTGGAAATGCAAAGGATGTTGACTCTGCCTGATTATATGATGATTTTATAAGTATCCTATTTTGACTTCCTTAATAATGGTTTCTAGTAAATTCCCTATGTCACATGCTGGGCTAAATGTCTTGTTGTTTCCTGCTTTCTGTCTCCCTCCTTGTTTTGAATAAAGAAGTTACATTTGCTGTTTTCCAATCTGGTGTGGCTATTCCAGAATCGGAGGAATTTTGGAAGATTATAAACAACACCTCTATCTTTGTAGCCACTTGTTTTAAGGCCTTACGGTATAGACTATCAGGCTGTGAGGTCTTGTTAATCTTCAGGTCTCATTGTTTTCCCAAGGTCATTTTCCTCAGTAATGGTGATTATTTTAAGTTCTTCCTTCTGGTTCATCTCTTGATTTTTAAGTAACTTTGGAAAATTTTCTCAGTTTTCAACACTGCGGACAGACACAACATACCACGGGCCTAGGGTCTAGGCCCGAAACGTCAGCCTTCCTGCTCCTATGATGCTGCTTGGCCTGCTGTGTTCATCCAGCTCTACACCTTGTTGTACCACTTTTAATATCTCTATCATTTCTTTTCCATCAATTCCTCTGACCCTCTCGAGAGGATCAACAGTAGACTGACATAATTATTTACTAGTTTTCAAAATTTGATCAATCTCTGAACTACCACTAATCTTTGCAAATTTGTTCAGTGTTTCTTTTGATTTGATACATCCCTCAACTTCTTTTGCCATGATTGATACATCCTTCTTAGTCAATAAGTATTTCCGTATAATGTTTGCCACTGCAGCTCTATTGTCCTACCTTTTGACTTTGTTTTTCCAGTTCACTTTGGCTCTACCTTCACACCCTTTTTGTTGAAGTTTGGCAAAATTGGCAAGGGTATTTGGTTGGGTTGGAAGGAGATTTAGGTGCTTTTCAACAGACCTCCCAAGGAGATGGGCATGACGAACATTGGTGCAGAGATAGGGAAATGGTTTAGTGATATGTACTCAGATTGGATAGAGAAGGAAAAGGGGGCGTGTGGCTGAAGATTTAAATAAAAATGCCCAGCAGGTCATTCAGCACTTATAAATTATTTGTGGTTAAAAGCCTTTAAAGACCACTTCAAACTGAAATAGTAGCTTGTCTTTTCTCCGTAGAGATATCGGATCATATATGTATTTTCAGTAATTTCTGTTTTATTTTCAGGATCTAAGGTTTTTTGTTCTTTTTAATTCTGTTTGAGATATCTGTCCATTTGGTTTTGACCTTTGAGGAAGTATAATCCATAAATTGTTCATATTCAGCACTGGACAAGGTTGGATTGTTGACAGAGGTTTTGGAATAGGTGTTATCTTAAAGGACATTGCAGTGAGATCTGTCTGCCTTATACAATCCCCTCTCCTACTCTAATCTGCATATGTTATGGTCCCAGCTGATATTATTACTGGACAAGTCAAATCCCGACTGAAACATGGATTGATACATGTTTTGTTTTTGTTTTAATAATGTAGTGTCTCACTGAAATGTAATCGCACAAAGTTGCAGATCTTGTTTTAACAATAAAACACATTTATAAACTGAAAGAAACAGCTATGAAATGAAACAAACTAAACTATTTATTTCTAATATAGATTCAGAGTTGTAAACACCAAAGTAAAAGTATATGCCACTAATCACAAAATACTCCTTTACAAATTCCAAAATAAAACAACATCAAAGCACCCGTTTTACAGTACTCCCACTAGAACAAAAAACAATTGAAACAAGGTAACACAGTGTGGAGCTGAAGGAACACAGCAGGCCAGGCAGCATCAGAGGAGCAGGAAGGCTGTTCTGATGCCATTAATTGATTGCCCCAACTTCCTTTATGTTGCATTTTTGGAACAAAATAATTCTGTAAATTTAACATGTTAAGAACATGCACGTGTTTCAAATCTCAAGTACTCATCGATGCAGAGA